CCGCCGCAGCTCCGCCATCGGATGGACGGCCTGCACGAGGCGGGCAACGCCTCGCAGCCCGCCGCCGCCGCCGCGCTCCTCGCCGCCGGCGCCGAGAGCACCGCCGCCGCCGCGGGCGGTGCACCCCCCTCCAGCTCGCCGTCGAGCGGGTCGGCGTCGGCGTCGGCGGCTGCCGCTGCAAGTGGTGCCGCCGCCGCCGCAGCCGGCAGCTGCGGACCCTGCGGACGCTGCTGAGCGAGCTGAACGGTGGCGCGGACCAAGGGACGGCGGCGGGCACCACGCCGGCCCACATCGCCGCGGCCCACGACTCGGTCGCCGCGCTGCGCCTGCTGCGCGCGCGCCGCTCGCCACTGTGGCGGCGCGACGCGTCTGGGAGGACGCCCCTTGACGTGGCGCGCGAGGCGCGGCGCGGCGCGTCGCGGTTCGTGCAGCGCCTGCTGCTCCTCGGCCAGCCGGCACCAACTTGAACGGATCTCATGCGCGTACTACGCCCCTCCCCCGATATGAGCCGCCGCTCCGCGCTTCCCTCCACAATCGCCGTAATTCCGTACAAAAATGGTGGAACTTCCTCATAAATGTCAACAGACAACACACACAAAAATCAGCCCTGTGTTGTGTGTACGCGCGCGGGCCCTGAGATGCATCTTGCCAGCCCCTTGGAGTGTGAACGGCTTCGTAGCCCTCCGGTCTACTAGAAGATCCGCAGGACTGGAGCGAAAAAAAAGCAAGCGAGTGGCATCTTGCATGTGTGTTTTGTACACCGTGGGGGCATGGGACCCCTGTTGTATATCCAATATCGTTTGCATGTGACCGCCGACTCGTTTGACTCCTTCGCTCATCATATACATGGATACGGCTCTACACACATCAAAACCGTCTGCGTCTCACTTATGTGTTATGAGAGTTATGTGTGGTATATTGACCGCGCTCGTACTACGCGGGATCATCCAAATCGATCATACCTGTTGCTGCACCGACGCCGATGACGACGCCTCGCCTCCAGAGACGTCGCGCGCCTCCGCAGAGCTGCGGCTGCTCATCTTGGCGAACACCCGGCTGAGGCCGTCAAAGCCGCGCCTCGCGAGGCTGGTGCTGCCCTCGGCGATGCTGCCCGAAACGAGGAGGTCCGCCCGCGACCGAGCGGCGGTCGCGCCGAGGCTCTTTGCCAGAAGCACGAGCGACACCTGAGGAGAGGGAGAGGCCTTCGTCGCGAGGCTCGATGCGTGCAAAGCGAGCTGTGGGAAACAGAGCGCGCCTTGCGGTGGCGCCCGGGGAAGCACGACTTTGCCAGGTCCTTGTAGAGTCCGCCGGCGATGAGCTCCTGCGGCGTTGGAAGGAGAGGGTTGTGTGTGTGTGTGGGGGGGGGGGGAGGCTCGGGAAAGCCGAGACTATCGCTCCTGCGGCGTGGTTTCAAAAAACTTGGAGAACTGGCAGCCGCCGAGCGCGGGGTCGTTCTCGTGCGCCGTGACGATCTTCAGCCTGTCCTGGCGCGCCTGCTTGACCTGCTCGGCCAGCCGCTCGTCGCTGACGAAGCTGTCCTCGTTGAGGTAGAGCAGCATGTGGGTCGCGGTGGCCGGCCGATCGTCGGTGGTGGAGATCGTGAGGCCGGT